CTGCCCTTGTTGACTATAGCATGTTTCTGGGAAGAAAGGCACAATTAAAGAGATCAGAGAGGCTTAGGTTATGGGCCAGTCAAAGATATGGGTCAGTCAAGGTTATGGTTCAGGGTGTACCCATGGTAAGGTTAAAGGTCAGGCCAGGGCTGGTGAACAGTTTGTTGCTGAAGGATAGAGTGAATGTCTATGTTTTTCACAGAGTCTGATCCCAGGAAATGGCAGCTTAAGCAAAGTCATCCAATAACATCCATGAATTTGTATCATATTAGTCTCTGTGCTCATCTCCCTGCTGCAATTCTGAGGTGGAGAAGTATTAGGAGAACTCCTTTGGAATTGGATCTTCTTTGAAAATTTCATTGAATATAATCTCCAGGATCTCAGAGGGCAAACCCAAACCAAACTTTTGCCCATGGCAAACAGAAATTCTTCTTAGTGGGATTTCTACCATTTAGATATAAGTCCCAGAATGGCAGGACCTTTGCTTTATTCCACAGTATATCTTCAGTGCCCAGAACAGTTCCTGGCATATAGCTGGTGCTTATTAACTTGTCTTGAATAAGTGAAGGCGGCACTGGTGGTTGGCCAGCGAGTGCCTACAAATAAGATATGCCTGTCACAATTGCCCTCTCCATTAGCGTTATCTGACTCAGCATCCTGAGTCTGACAGTCAACCAATCTGCACCATATCAAGACAGAGAATGGTGCAGAATACTCTGATGCTCTCACAACTTCTTGTAGGGTTCCTTAGGGGTTGGAATCAGACTAGACATTAATTTATCAGTTGCAAGACAACCATTCCTTTTCCTCTATTATCACTTCAAAAGGGTCCCAAGAGGGAGCAAAGATGAATAGAGGTTGTTGATCTTCCAGCTTTAACTGGGAGCCATGCTGCTGAATCACAAAGAACCCAAGAACCAACGGGATCTTCAGACACGGGGCACCTGAGCTCATGATGCTGTGGGAGTACATTAGGGACTGGAGGGAGGCTTAAAGGAAGGCCAGTGGGTCAGAGCTAGGGGTTTGCCCCTAACTCAACTAGAGCTTATCCACAAATACCCGCTTGTTTGCATTGGAAGACTTCACTTGAAGCAGGAGTTCTTGTGCTCTGATCCCTCTTGTCATCCAAGCCTATTTGCCCTGTATAATAAAGAAGACAACTGGGTCCAGAGACTTGCCAAAGATCAGGCTGTGGGGAACTGCAGAGCCTGAATGCCAGTGCCCGCCTCCCAGGTAAGAGTTTCCACCTACATTACTGCTGATTTCCCCATTGTGCCCAGGAAAGTTCTGCCATTAGAAGTCACACTTTGCCCTCCAAGGGCTCAGCTCTAATGGACAAAGCTCAGTGGGCTGTTGATGGGATGGGAGAGGGAGGGGAGTTCACATCACATCACAATTAAGGCTACAACTGTGGCAAATACTCCAACCAAAGGAATAAACCCAATAGCAAGTACTCTTCAGGTGAGGTCACATTCAAGGCAGTGACAGAAACATTCCCAACATTTCCATAAAGAAGGATGGCCACATGTGCATGGGCCAAGTCAAGGTAAGGAATAAAGAAGAATGGAAGATAATTCTTGACCCAAAGTACATTTAAACTCTCCCTGAAATCTGCTTCCTCCAGGAAGCCCTTAAGGTTGACTATAGAACAGAGTCCTGATTCAAATGCAGTGAAGGTGCACCTGAGAGTCTGAGTTCCCAGATGCTGGGGAACTCCCAGCCATTTAGGGAGGGAATATACCTCTGACAGTGTCCATTCATGTATGACAGACTCAAACACAAATTGCATGTGAGAACTGTTCCAGGTACAAAAGCGTTGGTCTTAGACTCATTCACTTGTAGCACAGGTAAATCCTAGAGTTCCATGTGGCCCAGTATCATGCCTCCCTGGCGTCACCTCCCAAGCTAATCACTTTGAGAACCACCACCCCAATAAAAAAATAATAAAAGAAACAGGAGAGTCCAGCCCCACAGGACCAAGTGTTCTATGATGTTAAATCATATGGGAGTCATCAATGAAATATTTCTAAAAGAGTAAAATGATTCTATTTAGGAAGATCCATATAGCAACATACTGAAAAAGAGGCATTATTGGAGCAGAAGTGAAAATTAAAATGAGGAATGATCAGGGCCTGACCTTAGGTACAGACTACAAAGAGAAGAGATGGATTCATAGAGTAAAGTAGGAAAAAACTGATCAACCGAACTTGAAGATTGGCTAGTTTGGGGGCAGAGGATGACCCAAAGGAGGAATTTAGGTTTCTAGCTGTAGCAGCAGCCTGGAGGGTGGTTCCATTTTCATAAGGGAATAGACCAAGTGAAGGCTTTGGCTGTCCAAATGGTGAGTTTAATTCAGATCACATTTAATTTCAGGTACCTATGAGGACTCCAAGCAAAAATATGGATGTGGATGATGTACTTGGAGTAGCATGGAGCTTTATTCTAGCCCCTCCAGTGCTGAGACCTCCCTGCAGAGAGACAGCTCCTCCACTCTCTGCTCCTAGCACCATACAGACCTCCAGTTCCCTCCTGGATTTGAGCATATGATAAGCTGGTACAAGAAACTAACAAATGATCTCACAGCTCCTGCTCTCCATGTTCCTTCCCAAGAACTTCTGAAATTCTCCTGCAGAGAGACTTGTCAGGACTACAGAAACCTGAAATGGGGTAACACTGCCCCATCTCCTTCCAGGAACCCTGTCTCACGCCCCCACCTCACCCTGCTGACAGAGATACATCCAAGCAGTCTTCTTCCACTTCTCTAGATAGACTCAGTCGCCAACCTTTATGTGACACAAGCCAAGTAGTTCCCTAGCAACCCAACTCCAGACTTAGGGCTGTTTCCTATTCTGCCTTCTTTAAAAATTGACGAAGGCCAGAACCCAGGTGGACTCCGCCACATTATGAGAGGGCAGCCAGGCATGGATACTGGACCTATCATCCAACACTCCCCAGTGATGATCCCCTAGCTTCCCCTTTCAGTACTCTCTGCCAGTCCCCTTCAGAGAGGAAGCTCAAACCCAGGGTTACGCTGTAGGTCAACTGCCAGTTAATCCTTACAAACCACACTGCTCTCATTTCTACTGGCTATGGTAAGGCTTAACGGGTCCCTGGGGACCTTGAAAGAGCTGTGTCAGCTGTGATTATAATAGCTTTGGTCTCTCGGACTAGTGGATGAGGAGAGAGGATTACCCATCTTTCGACATGTCTCCCATTTTCTGCTTTCTCAAAGCCACTTCTCTCATCTAGGACACTCGGCTATCCTGCCCCTGTGCCATCCACAGCCAGGGGACACTGAGGCCATGGGTTCTCCTCTGCTCCCAGACACCTCTCCAAACGGACCCTCGTTTGCCTATATGACTCATTCTGCACCTACTTGGTGACACTGTCCTCCCTGCAGTCCCTCCTTCCTCTGTCACCAGTGTCCAGCACAGTGCTGTCACCTGACAGCAGCCTGATAAGGATTTTTGTGTTGGCTCAGTGAATCATCTCCACGTGTCTCTGCCTGTCAGTCCTGCTAGTCAGTCCTGCTAGCTAGCCTGCCTCCCCTTTCCTCCATCAGTGTGATATCCTCTATCCTCTCTAGCCTCCCTGTGCAGATCCTGCCTGCCAAGGCCCCCTTAGCTAAAATACCCAAGCACTGCCTAACACAGGTTAATTCATGTAACTGTCCCTCCGTCAGGTCCACAGGACTTCTCATTTCCCAGATGAGGAACTGAGGCACAAACACAGCTACTAAGGATGCAGCCTGAGTATCTGGAGCCAGACTTCTCTCCTCCCTCCCCTCTTAACCATTCTGCCAAGTGACCTTTCCCACCCTCCAGCGTTTAAGCCCTCCCTCCTCGGAAGGAGGCTGCATTTTTGGAGAAGCAGTAAGAAGATTTATTCTGACATCGGATTCGTAGTAAAGTAACAGAGCAAAATTTGGTATTATGTCAATCACTGTGTGATGGGCAGAATCTAATCCGGGGCTGCACTCACATAGTCTCTGGCCGCTTCCGGGACTCTCTCCAAGCCACCGCGCTGGACAGTGGTGCCTGAGACTGTGCCCGGGTCAGTGGAACTAGAGAAGGAAGGAGGTGCGGCAGTTCATCCAGGTACTCTGGAGGCAACCCGCAGCGGCATTGCCAGGTCCAGTCCGCAGTCCGCAGAAGCCGGGCGCTTGCTGCTCTCTGGCGGCCGGCGCCGGCAGACCCGGACCTGGGAATCGCGCCTTCTAAACTCCGCGCGCCCAAGGGCAACCGGCGAGTGACCCGGAGGCTGGAGAGGGCGGGAGGAATAGGGACGCAGCTGAGGGCAAAGGAGGAGAGGGCCCAGGACAGGATCGGGTAGGGACGCGAAAGGCACCGCGAGGGCAGAGGGCGGTCTCGGGCTCCCGCTGCGAGGCGTAGGTGGCCTCCGCGGGGCCGAGCGCCCTCCAGCGACGCAGCCCCTCCAGACC